TCTTGCTCCTCAAGAGTCCCTGAGCTTATCTTAAATAAAGTATAGGCCTTGGAATCAGATATGACATGGATAGCCTACTCACAGAATTTAGAACAATGTCTTACTCGTATATTGTTTATTAACTGCTTAATTAATTCAACTCATTGAATAAAACATTGAGAGTCTATTGTAGATGTGTTTGGTGTAGGAAATTCAGAAGTGAGTGAAATAGAGTCTTTGCCTAAAAGGTTCTTAACATGTAGGTAGGAGAAGACATATCTCCAATTATTTACTAAATAACAGTACATGTGATAGTGGAGACAATGATTCACTGTGTATTTGAATCATTAAGGAAAATGCAGAGAAAATAGGAAAAGAAATTTGCATAAGACTTTGTAAGAAAACAGAACACAAAAACAGCTACTTAAGTGATATATTGGCTGTATAAAAATGCAAGCTATACAGACTGTAGAATAAAAAGGGAAAAACTACTCCCTTCCCAGATAAATCTATTAAAATTTTTCTGTCTTTTTCTTTTTAGTTTTTAAAGAAAATTTTTGCTATAGTGTGTGTGTGCTCCCCAGAGAGACAGAGACCGAAAGTGAGAAATTTCTTCCCCAGAGGAATGGCCATGCCACAATCCCTTCTCCATTCTCCTTTCAGTATCTTGGGCATGCTCTCACACTCACCTGGAGTGAGTTTAAGCCACCAGGTTGGACTCGAACCATGATCAACTATGTGAGAGTTTAGTGACATAACCATTACACCATCTGCTGGTCCCCTTTATATGTCTTTTTCTAGTAATTTGTTATAAATAGTTATATAAGCATAATCATACAATAATATAGAGTTTAGGACTAAAACTAAATGAGTATTTTTTATACGTATCATTTTGTGCATTGCCTTTAACAACTTATTGATATCATCTTAGAGATTTTTCCATGTCACATTAATATACAGGTCTATCTCATTCTTTTAATTGTCAGTTAATAATTGATTATAGAGGTATAGCACAATGTATTTCCTACCATGTTATTGATGGGTAATGAGAGTATTTTCATATATTTCATTTGCTATCATAAACAATGCTGTCTAAAAAGTTGGCATACATGTCTCTATCACTACATATTTGTCATTTATATTTTGTCACTATGCATAATTTCTGTAGTATATATACTCAATTAAAATTTTCATATACACTCTGATAAATTACTTTTCATAGAGGCTTTTCAAATTGACGTTTTTGTTTGTTTGTTTGTTTTTAAGAAATTTTTTTTTTCTATAGGGCACTTGCACTCACCAGAGAGGCAGAAAGTGAGAAATCACTCCCTGAGGGGATTGATCATGCTGCAGTCCCTTCTCTTCCATTGTCCTCTTGGGATTTTGGGCACCCTGTACAAGTGCCTGGCATGAGTTTTAAGCTGCTGGGTCTAGGACTCGATCTATGGTCGACTATGTGGGAATCCAGCAAAGTAACCATTATGCCATTGGCTGGTCCCCCAGTTGACTTTTTTACCAAGCAGTGTTGAGTGTCCATTCTTTACAGAGGGTCCATATTGGATATTTACAATTTCTTAAAATGTGGCCAATCTGATAATTAAAAATGATGCCTCATTATTTAAAATTTTATTTCCTAGATCACTAATATTTTTTTCTATTTTTTATTATTTATTTATTTTTTATTATCATCATAATCTTGTTTATATTACATTAGATTGCATATAACTTCACAGTGTGTTACATTGCTTTTTCAAAAGGGAATGCCATGCATGTCAGTCAATACAGAGACATTCATCATTCAATATCTTTTCATTGTTTTTCCCAATCATTATTATTATTGTTCCAATTAATTTTTTTTAAACAGTCAATCACTATTTCTCATTTTGCTTGTAAAAAGACTTCACCCATCATGAAGTACTTCTCAGACCAATCCAGTTGAGAATATTATACACGTCATCATCAACAGGTAATAAGTCATATCTGTTTCCCACTAACGTCCTGACTCTATTTGTTCTCTTGCTGTCTTTCTCTATCCTCTTCTCATCACCCCCCTCATTCCACACTGTCTTATTCTCGTTACGTACTTTCACTGCTTTTACGTCCTTCAATATTTTGCTCTCTACCATAGAGAACGGATAGTCGGTATATGTTAAGTGGATACATGAAATATCTTTCTTTCATAGCCTGGCTTACTTCACTCAGCAATAGATCCTCCATATCTGAGCACTTTCTATCAAATGCCAGGGTCTTGTTATTTTTTTATGGCTGAGTAGTATTTCATAGAGTATATATGCCACACTTTTCCAATCCATTCATCAGTTTGTGGACATTTATTGCCAATCTGACAGGGGTTAGGTGGTATCTCATTGTGGTTTTTATCTGCATCTTTCTCATGATGAGGAATGTTGAGCATTTCCTCATATGCTTTTTGGCTGCTCGTATGTCTTTCTTAGAGAGATTTTTGTTCAGTTTATTTTCCCATCTTTTAATTGGGTTAATCATTTTTTTTTCTGTTTTGTTTTGCATAAGGCACTTGAGTTCCCTGTGTATTCTGGTTATCAGTCCCTTGTCTGAGGCATATTTAACAAAAAGTATTTTCCCATTCTGAGGGTTGTCGGTTCACACTTGTTACTGTGTCCTTTGCTGTGCAGAAACTTCTTAGTCTGATATAGTCCCACTTGTCTATTTTAGGGATTATTGCCTGTGCTTTGGGAGTCTTATTTAAACTAATATGTTTTTGATTGCACTTGTCATTTTGTTTTATACTTTCAGCTTTTAAGTTATTACTAATACTTTGTTTTTGGTATTTCACTATATGGGGCATATTTTGTCTACTCCTTCAGTGATTTGTATGGCTCATTTCATATTGCTTACCTCTTTGCTTTTTAAAAAGCTTCAGTGTACATTTCATTGAAGACCAAATAATTTAAGTCATTTTTGCCCTGTTTTTCTACCATAAAAAATGAGTTCTTCTCTAACCTGCCTTTTTTGTTGTTGTGGTTTTTTTTTTCATTTATCTGAAGTTTCTTTTTTCCAGCTTTTCACTCTCAATCTGTGTGTTTTTTACTGACAAGGTATGATTCTTATAAGCAGCATATAGAGGTTTTTTTTTTTTTCATTTTCCTTTCAATTCAACCAGTCTATATCCTTTTATTGGGAAGTTAAATCCATTTCCATTCAATGATATTATTGATATGTATTTATTTATACTTGCCATTTTATTGGTTAGTTCCTGATTGTTTTGTATTTTCTTCCTTCCTTTTTCCTTCTGTTATTGTTTATCTTTGCTACTTGGTTGAGTTTTCTAGTGGTAGGAATTATCATTTGATTTCTTCTTTCTGTGTTTTTTTTTTTTTTTTTTTTTTTTTTTTTTTTTTTTTTTTTTTGTGTGCTTGCCAGAGAGACAGAGAGACAGAAAGCCAGAAAGCCAGAAATCACCCCTCCCCCAGGGGAGATGGCCACTCCGCAGTCCTTTCTCCTCCATTCTCCTCTCAGGATCTTGGGCACGCACGCACATGTGCCCGGCATGAGTTTAAGCTACTGGGTCCGGGACTCAAGCCATAGTCGACTACATGGGAGTTCAGCAACATAGCCATTACGCTAACTGCTGGTCCTTGTGTTGTTATTCCAGTGATGAGTTTTATACCTTTGTGTAATTTCACGGTGATATTTATCTTCCTTTCATTTTCAGCTGTAGTAGCTCCTTAAGTATTTCTTGGTAGGTCAATTCCTTCACTTTTTGTTTGTCTGGGAATGCTTTGATCTCTTCTTCAAATTTGTAGGATGATTTTGTTGAATATAGTATTCTTGGATTAAACTGTTTTTCTTAAAGAATTTTGGATTTGTCCTCCCATTCTCTTCCACATACAAGGTTTCTGCTGAAAGTTCTGAGGTTATTCTGATGGGAAATCCTTTATAAGGATGATGATTTCTTTAGTCATCTTTAGAATTTTATATTTGGCTTCTGAAATTTTGATTATAATATCCCTTGGAGAGGATCTTTTTATATTAAGTCTGTTTGACAGGGCAGCAAGTGGCTTGGTGTTTAAGGTGTTGGACTCCCACATGGCCAAGTATGGTTTGAGTCTGAGACCTGGCAGCTTGCTTTCTCACTTTCTCTCTCTCTGTCTCTGTCTGCTGAGTGCATGTGTCCTATAGCAAACTAAAATTAATTACTTAATTAAATTTAAAAATTAAAAATAATTCTTTAACAAACAATCTGTTTGGCATCCTTTGAATTTCCTGGATATGGATATCTGCATCATCTATGGATCTGGGAAGTTTTCAACTAACATTTTATGTAATATATTTTCTATGCCTTTTTTTATTTCTTAACATTCTGGATACCCATTATGCAAATATTTGGTTACTTAATGATGTCCCAAATTTCTCATATATTATCTTAATTTTTTTTTTGAGATATTTTTTGCTACAGGGTGTGTGTACTCACTGGAGAGATAGAGAGAGACAGAGAAACAGCAAGAAATCAGCTCCTGGGGGAATGACCACACTGCAATCCCTTCTCCATTTTCCCCTCAGGATTTTGGGCATGCATCCACATGCACCTGGCATAAGTTTCAGGCCTCTGGGTCTGGAACTTGAACCGTGGTTAACCATGTGAGAGTCCAGCAATCTTAACCACTATGCCACATGCTAGATACTATTCTCTTATTTTTTTTTTTTAAGAGAGATTTTTGTCATGTGCTCACTAGGTGAGGGCATGGCCATGCCATAATCTCTTCTCTTCCATTCTCCTTTTAGGATTTTGGGCACATATACACACACACACATGCCTGTTATGAGTTTTAAGCCACTGGATCATGAACTTGAACTGCAGTCGACCATGTGGTAGTCCAGCAATGTAACCATTATACCATCTGCTGTTCCCACTATTCTCTTAATTTTTAATAGTTACTTTTTCTTTCTTTTAGAGGGTTTGGGCTCGTTCAAAGGTTGTACAGTATATTCAAATTTCAAGATGATTTATTCCGTATGGTCTAACCTGCTGTTGATACTCTCTAAAAAATATGGAAAACCTCCAAAATTTGTGTGTCATCCTTGCACAGGTGCCATGTTGATCTTCTTTGTATCATTTCAATTTTAGTATATGTGCTGCCAGGGGAACACTACGATGGGTTCTTTATCATCACTTTCCTTTAGTCTCCATTCTCTGCTACTCTGTCTCTCCTTTTCCTTACCTAGCTTCTTCCTACTGAGTTTGAAGATCTAGATTAATGTTAAATTATTACCATTTTGATTTTTATATCTTTTTCTTAACAAAATTTGTAGATATGCATATCTAATTTTGTGTCCATGTATTTCTATTGTTTTTACCATTGAATGCTTACATTATTTACTGCTAGTCTTTCATACTACAACTCTTAGCTCTTTATTCTGCCTTTTCACTCAGTTAACTGCAGTAGGTATTCAACTTTTTGTTTTGTTTGTTTTTTCCATAACGGGAAGAGTTTGGTATGTTTTCTGGGTGAGTCTCTGTATGCCCGAGGTTATTTTTCTATATTTTTTAGCATGTGAATGACAACTTGGCTGAGTATATAATTTTAGGGCTTTATGTTTGTTTTTGTCAAAACCCTTTTTTTTGGACTTAGTGTATTGAGGAGACATCTGAGCTCAGATTGATTTTATTTTCCCTTTTTAAGAATTCCCTCTAACCAATTTGATTGTTTCTAAGACTTCTTCTCCCTCTCCTTTTATTTCGATAAGTTTAAAAGTTTCCAAAAAAAAAAAAAAAGAAGAGTAAAACAGACATTAATACTCTTAATAACTAGAAGAAGAAATATTCTTCCTCCCTCCTCTCTTCCTTCCTTCTTTTTTTTTGCTATAGGATGTGTGTGCTTGCTGGACAGACAGAGAGACAAGAGACAGAAAGCAAGAAATCACCCCCCACAAGGGGGATGGCCATGCTGCAGTCCCTTCTCCTCCATTTTCCTTTTGGGATCTTAGGCATGTGTGCACATGTGCCTGGCGTGAGTTTCAAATCATCTGGACCAGGATTTGAACTGTGGTCAATGATGTGGGAGTTCAGTGATGTAACTACTACACCATTTGCGGGTCCTTCTTTCCTTCCTTCTTGAATACACATTACGGATATTGCTAAAGTTCCCTTTATCCAGCACCCCCTTCCCATTCTACTTACTAGTCCTTTCCATAGTCATTTAAACAACCACCATTAGGAATTTATAATTTTCATGCCATTTAATTTTACACACATATTTTTACATCCAAGAGTAATGTAAGTATTGTTTTTATTGTTTTGAATAGGTTTTATGTATTTGTATGACATTATACTAGAGATATTATTCTGTACTTCTTCATAAAGTATCATTTTCCTTAATCTCCGTATTGAAAAAAATTCAATAATGTGTTGAGATAGGATCTTTTTTTATTTTGAGTAATATATTTTGATCCTTTTTAATTTGTACATTCAGGGTTTTTTTAGCTCAAGATTTATTTTTCCCAATTATGTTTTTGTTTATTACTTCTGATCAAATAATTCTAGTTGTCCCTTGGGAACACCTGTAATTCATACAGATTTAATTGTTAGCCATTTGCTTTTCCTCCTTACTCATGCTTTGATGAGAAGAGATTAAAGGAGACTCAGTGCTTTTTAACAGACAGTAGATATCTGTTACTTGAGTATGCACAGTTAACATCAGTTTTTTAGGGCTATAGCTATGGGGAAGATTGACATGTTTCACTCTAACCTAGTTCCCATATTTTCCAAGTTTTTAATTTGGGCAGCTTTAATATATTAAAGTGGGACAATTTTTAACCATCCAGTTCCACATTTCTTGATGTACTAAAGAAGAGTTAATAAAAACCCTAAAAGTGGCAAAGAATTGAGGCCCTTAGTCCAACAGCCTACAAGGTACTTAATTCTGCCAACAACTATATGAGCTTGGAACTGGGTCCTTCCCCAGTCAAGTCTTCACATAAGACTTCAGTTTTTTCTGAAATCTTAATTGTAACCCCTTAGGAGACCTTGAAATAGAAGACTCAGCTAAGCTTGCCCAAATTCTGACCCAGTTACATCATGAGATAATAAATATGTATTATTTTAAATTGCTAGGTTGGTATTGTTTGTTCTGCTGCAAATGAAAACAAATACAAGTTGTTTTAACTACTCAGTCCTGGAGAACATCTTTCTGTCTTAGGGGTTGAGTTGGCTGGACTCTGGCCTACGTGTGTACTGAGCAGAGTTTTGTAGTGGACCTTGTAGTCTTGTTTTTCTGGGTGACAGGTAAGGTGACTCATGCCTTGCCATGTTCAATTTTGATTTTCCCATATGTCCTGAAGCTATCAGGCTTCTGGAAAGTGGTGCCCAACGGGGCACTGCTGGGTAAGAGTGATAGCAGATGTGATTCCTGCTCCTGTAGCCATGAAGAATTCTCCAGTGAACAAGCTATGGTCCTTCCTATGGGAATGACCTCTGGGGTGGGCTAGAATTTATATCTGAAGATCTATTCCTCTTCCAGAAATAAGAAAAGCCCTTAAGAGAAACATTGGAGATTATTTTTTAAAAAGGTTTTTGCCTTAGGGCATATGTGCTCACTAGAGAGACAGAGACAGGGACAGAGACAGCGAGAGGGAAAGTGAGCAACCCCCCCCTGGGGGGATGGCCACACCACAATCCCTTCTCCTCCATTGTCCTCCTGGGATCTTGGACACACACACCCAGACTGATTTTCTAGCCATTGGGTCTAGCACTTGAAGCATAGTCGGCCATGTGAAAGTCCAGCAACGTAATTGCTACGCCATCTGCCGGCTCCAAATCATGGGGGATTTATAACATTGTTCATTTGACATGAAAAAGACTACATGCTACTAGTTACTCTTTTTCTTATTTTCAACAGAGAAGATTAAAAAAAAAAAGTTCATAACACAGCTGGTAGTGGTACAAATAGCAGGATGCTCCTGTGTGATGGCTGAGGCTGCATGGGACAGCTGGGTTCAGTTCCCAGCCCTGCCAGATAGGCAGTGTGTGATGCCATGTGCCTGAGGTTGTAGGATCATGGCATGTAAGACTGTCCAAAAATTCCCCATACCATTGTTGTCATTAAAAAAAAAGAAAAAGAAAAAGATTTTTTTTTGTTTATTTAAATTCTATAGCACAGAGGGAACTGAAGGGTAGACATTTTCAAATGATACTAGTCATAAAAGGAACTCTGAGTGGGACTTAGAAACTAACTGGCAAAAACCGCAGGTCAGCATCTTGTCCTGACCCCTCTGGGTGAAGAGAGCGCCTTGTTTTTTGACTTTGTGCCCCAGACATGGTGTTTAAAAAGGACCATGGCCAAGATCAGAGTCAACGAAAGTAACTTATTTTCCCCGACTCCCATTTTAAAAACATAAGTCTAATTGCCTATGGGGAATTGGAATAACAAAATAATGTAATTTATTTTTAAAACCAATTACCAGCATTTAAAAGGCTGCCTTTGTTGGATGTCAAGATGAACCCCTCATTTAAACTGACCTCTTAATAACACACTCATTGAAATATTTTTATTCTTGCCTGAACTAGGTTAATTTTAAATAAGTATTTTTTATTGTAAGAGTCACTTATTTATTCAACAATTATTTACTGCATGATTGCTTGATGCAGGCACCGTTCTAGGCACTCTGTTCTTGCACGAGAGAAAAACAGTAAATAGATGCTTAATATATAATGTGATCATATGATGATATGTCATCAACAAAATACAAGTACTATATACAATATGGCTAATTTCATGGAATAGAATGAATATATGACATAAAATTAATCATCTTGGTAACCATTTCAATGTATTTATTAAAAACAAACCAGTTATAATTATAGTAATTATATAACAATATCAGGTTAGTGCAAGACACAATAAAATCATTAGCTCACAAAATCTGAACATTTATTCTTTCGTGGCATGATGTTAAAATGGAAAAGATGATTCACACTTTGTAAAATTTAAGACTATAAAATAAAGACTTGTTTTCAAAGTGGAAAGTGGAAACAGATAAAAAGCTTCTAAAGGCTGCTCTAGAAAGACATTTTGGTTGCTCTGGAATATTAAGTAAAAATCTTCCCATGTAACAAAAGGTCAGGGAGACAGGCACCTACTGGAATTGGCTCAGCAGTTTGATCATGTCTGGGCAAGTTTGCTGCCTCATAATCACAAAATGGCTGCTCCAGCTTCAGGTATTGCCCCTACCTTCAAAATAGAAAGGTGAAAGGTGGGGCAAGTCCAGCTACATTTTTATGTCTTACCAAGAAACGAAAAGCTTCCTCAGGACTTTCCCCAACTCAGCAGACTTCTGCTGTGTCACATAGCTGTCCCTACTCGTATGGCAGTTGGGGAAAGTGCGCACTTAGCCTTTTCACGTTTTATAGTGGAAGGGTGCAAGGGAGTAAGGAATTCGGTATGGGTTGCATCAGCCAATCACCAGAAGTTGCCACAGGAATCTTCAAGTTAAGAGCGTAAAATGCATTGCTTTATTCTCAAAGCTTTCCCTGCATTCTACTCTTATCTGCTGCCACGGTTTCCTCTGATTTGGAAAAAGGCAGAAAAGCAGCTTGGTAGCATCAGTCTCAGGATGAACTGTATTTTGGTGAAAGGGCTTGGGGGAAATGGATGAATTGTAATGATGGCATGAAATGAGAGCTTTGGGTTTAAAATGATAAACAACGCAGGGAATTGACAATAACGGCCTAGTTCCATGCTGGGGTTGGGGAAGGCTGTGGATTAATGCGATTGTATGAAACAGCACAAATTGCTACTTCTTGGCCAGAAGAGTGGTGGTAGTGGGAATAGTATACTCTTTTTTTTTTTTTTTTGGTTGGGGGGGGGGGGGGTAGATATTTTTAAGGAAAAGTT